AATGTGGGTAAGTGAGTCAAAGAACAAGGCGATCTATTCATCTTACCCGCAACCTTTCCAAGTCCAGTTGCTGCTCCAGGCGACGAAACTGTTCTCGTGATGCCTTCAGCTGCTCGGCAATGATGTGGTCCATGTTGGTCTGGCTGGCCCTGAGCTCCTCCAACACGGCTTCCGGAGTATTGTTCTCCTGGGCCACGGGGAAGGTGTTATGTACAGAACTTTCGACTGGCCACAATTAGCCGTGAAGGAAAGTTGTACTCTGGCTGAAACTCCTTACTGTCGTGCTCTCCCACAGACGTGTCGTTGGATGGCAGAGGACCGGGCACCGGACTTTGTCCCTTTGCGACGCCGGATGCAGCCTCGATCACATTCGTGACAACTTCCATGTCTTCCGTTCCCCGGGGTGCGACGATCTCACAGTAAGTGGACATTGCCTCGGTGAGACCATACGCTGCGGCAACCTCCGGCTTCAATAACTCCTGCAGGCCAATCATGAGCGCAGAGACCGACTGCATTATCATGTTAGAGGCACAACTCTCAAGTGATACCGGGTTAGCTCACCAGGCCGACGAGGAAATTGTTGAACGCGCCGGGTGTCGCAGGATTGAGCTTCGCCTTGGCCAGAGTTTCGAGGGCCTTTGGAATCATGAGGTTTGTTTTGCTGTCCTCGAGGAGTTCGGCGAGCATGGTGTTCATTGGTAGTTGAGCTGTTCGGTGAAGACGACGTGTACAGTGTACTGAACAACAGTTGATGTTGAAAAGATGCGAGTGGCAATGGAAGCCTTATCATCAACTGATCTCGGATCCTGCCCACGTGATAGGACTTTGGGACACTTGCCTTCTTGAGTATGGTCTGCTCGGCACGTGTCGCACATTGCCGAGAGCAGCCTTCTTGCAGGTCACCTGCTGTGGCAGTAGCTGGGATAATTCACCGCCATCATCCTCCACTTCCGCATTGAGCTCATACTGTCGGTTCCTTGGGAGTTCGCTATGGTAAGTTCCAAATGCTCCGCACCTATCTCCAGCGCCATGATTAACTGACATGGGCAGTCACTCCGGCGTGAAGCATTTCCAGTCATCAGGTGGGAATTACTTGCATTTGCGTTGTCTACCCCGTGAGTGGTTCCCACGGTTCGATGAACCTCAGCATTGTAACATCATTCTGCAGCCATGCCGAAGTCGTGCCCGACCGGCCACACACTATTCAATCAACCGGTATCTATTTGGGCAAATCATCCTATCGGTCACCTACGAGAGCAGCGAATGGTCCACTGAGATGCCCAGGACCGATGCCAGGCTGGAGAGTATTATGTTGCTGTTTGATATGGTGGAGGCACGGGATGGGATGTTAGTGTGCTGAGCCTTCCGTCACAAACGTAGTCGTATTGGTTCCTGCTGTCATGGTTTAATTGCTGTTCTTACCCGACTCAATCCCCTCCACTGGGCATGAGACATTGCAGCATGCATTCCCGGTCAATTGCATCATGCATGCGAACATTTGAATGGCACTGACAGTCCCTCTAAGATGAAGCATTCAGATGCACCCGAAATAGGTTGACCGAGCCCGGCCCGAGACTTCGGAAAGTTGCTCGGGCCGAGAGTTCGCAAACTTGCCTGGGCCGAGATATCGGAAAAGTGCTCGGCCCGAGATTTGGAAAGCTGCTCGGGCCGAGAGTTTGGAGGTCAATTGCATCATGCATGCGAACATTTGAATGGCACTGACAGTCCCTCTAAGATGAAGCATGCAGATTGCAACCCGAAATTAGGTTGACCGAGCCGGGCCCGAGACTTCGGAAACCTGCTCGGGCCGAGAGTTCGCAAACTTGCCCGGGCCGAGATTTCGGTACAGTGCTCGGCCCGAGACTTTGAAAACTGCTCGGGCTGAGAGTTTTGGAAAAGGCTGGGCCAAGAGTTGGAAAGCTGCTCGGGGCCAGAGAGTTGGCAACATTTCTCGGGCCGAGAGTTTGGAACACTGCTCGGACGAGTGTTTGGTGTACTGCTGGGGCCGAGAGTGGGTACAACCACTCGGCCCGATCGTATGGCAGCTGGCTCGGTCGAGGGTTTGTGAGATCATGAGGGCCGAGTGGCTGGTGAAGTGCTCGGGCCGGGAGTCAACAAAGGTTGTCGGGCTCGGGGCTGGCACCATGACGTCTCAAATCTCCGTAGATTACTCAGGCATATCACCTTTGTAAACACAATGGGAATACAATCGACGAGCTACTGACTGAGTATCCTACTACACTTGATACTATCAAGTCATGAGATTTGGCTCCAGGTACAGATCCCGCCATGCCACTTTCGCATCTTCATGCAGGTGATCGAACAGTGCAGCTTGTGCTCGGCAGTGCTGGGAAAATCCTGGGTACTCGGCATCGGTGTTATTGGTCACTAGTCCTCGCCACCGGCATGCTTCGTGGTCAAAGTATCGGCACACGGAGTCAAGCTCCCTGCGCAATATGGCGGCTTCTTCCTCCAATCTGTCGACCTTTGAACGGGCATGGAACCACTGTACCCTGTGAACTATGCGCGATGTCAGCGAGTTATTCAATGTACCACCGCCGTCTCACGTACTGATTCCCAACTCGTCATTGCTCCGTATGTCGCCACCGACGTTAACATTCCATATCCACGAGGGGGATTTGTGCCGTTGGCCGGCCTTGTTGGGCTCGGCAATTGCAGTTACTGTCTTTAGATCATCTGGGGTGAGCTGCTGATATTTAGCTTGATCCTCTGCAGACAGGCCGAGCACTTGCATCGCCGCTCGGGCCCGGCGATAGATTGCGGCTTGAAGCTGTACAGCTCGGTCGAGTTTACCCAACTTGGTAAGGATCGGGTGCGCTTCTTGTTGCCATCTTTCCTCCCGTGCCGAATGGTTGTCTGGAACTCAAACGATTTCTTGCCGATGAGAATCCGAAGCTGCTGCAAGGCATCATTTGCTTGTCCGCGCCGCAGAGTGAGCTCGTGCGCGGCCAAACGTTGCAATCCATTGGCGGTTAGAGCATTCCGCGTGAAATTCGAAGGTAGCCCGAGTTTCGTATGTTCCGCCGCCTTCACTGGGTATGGTGCGGGCGGTTTACTGGGAAAGATGGACCATGGATTGTCGGCATGTGCTGGGGGATCGTTGGGATCTTCTTCCCACTCCGCAGCCGAGTCGTCATCCACTGCTTCCTCCTCTGCCACGCCCCAGTCATGCCTTCGGTGAATTGCAGCCGCTCGCCGGTGGAACCGCCGGATCTGACTCTCGAGAGGCTTCCTCCGTTTGGCCAGCTTTAACTCTTGAGCCCCCGTCACAATGGCCCCCATTTGCTTTATGTCTTTCTGGATTGCGAGTCTGCGGGGTGATCAGAAGTAACCCGGAAAAGGCGGTCAAAGCACTGACTGTTGCTCTTCAAGCTTAAGGCCATCGGCAATCCAGTCCGCTGTGCCAACGCGGTCCCCGCCGTCACCCTCTTCTTCTGCCAGCTTAATCTGAAGTTCGAGCCGCGAAGGCACTGTCACCAAATCAGCCCTGAGCTCGGCATGGAGAGCAGAGTGTACCAACTAATTTGTTTCTTCGCTTGATACCTGTCCATTACCTTCACATCCCGAAGCCTTCGTCGTTGTACTATCCTGAGTTCCCTCTCCACTCTCCCAAAATCTCGGCATCGACACTGGCCTCCTTCGCGGTGAGGTCGGCCTTCATGTCGGCCAGCAGTGGCCGATTGGCTTTGATTTTTCTTCTCAGCGAAGCCACTGTCCTCCGTCAGCCCAATGTGTGATGCCACAATCAGCTAGACCATACCCATGGTGATCATCTTCTTCCAATTCCAATTGTTCATGTGCCGGTCGAGGGTTTCCTGCCGGTGGGATGTTGACATTGAGCGGGTACTACCCGACACGGGATTGATCCCCGACCATTGGGTTTCGATGATCTCGCCGTCAGCTTCCCCGGCCCCCTCGGTGAAGGTGAGAGAGTGCCGGAGCTCGCACTCCGCCTTGTGACCGTGAATGTGAAAGAGGCCAATGCACTTGTATAGGACGAGGCCCCCGGCATTTGAAGATAAGGATTGTCGTCAAATCGGTCATGGAGATGGACGTGGTACTGGCACATGATGTCGTATGATACATAGACGTGCCCAATACCTCTCGAGCGGTAGCCGAGAGCATTGGACAGGGAGTAGTCCATGTTCATCTGACGTTCGCCCTTCTGATAGTTCACTACCGAGTGCGGAAGGAAGCACCTGTGCCTCAAACAAGATGTTGCGCCGATCCCGGTAACAGCCAGCTTATGCCGGTTGGCGTTGGCCTGGGAGACCGCCTTGTGGTCGTTGCAGCTTGAGTGCTGTGGACGTGTTAGCCACACGTTCGTATGCCGGCTGTATACACCCTCACCATCTTCACGTCCTTCGCTACTTTCAGGTGCTCCTCGTATGGGCCGGGATGAACCATGAACATTTTCCCCGGCATCAACGGTACGTCGTTCTCTGGCTTGCGCATTTTCATTTGCTCGGTGTGGAAGTTCCCATCCATGACATATCCTCGGGCATATAGGTACCTCCAAAACAGGTCAGCTGGCGTATACCGGTGAACAGGGTAACTACTTACTTCCTATCATCCACCTCCCAGTCCGCGGGTATGTTCACTCCGGGCTGCGGACATGCCGGGCAAAAGTGAGCAAGGTCTCCGTTGCCCGGGGCCTCTCGCCACTGCAGCCCGTATCCAAACTGTTTCTTCGCCTGGAGCAACGCCCATTCGCAGCTCACTCTTAGCAACTCAAGGTATTGATCCTACTTCCATTTCAATCATGTGGGTGTGCTGGTATTCTGCACGATCACTCACCGGTACTTCATGGGGAAACGCCGGATTGGTGGCCCGTCAAATCTGTGCGTAGTAATTCATGGCGGTAGTCTTACACTCCAGATTGTCCAGCAGGAAACTGTCAAGTGCCCCAAAGGTGAAGCATGTACGAGCCTTCCGCTGGCTTGCCGGATACAACCCGGCATCGAGAAGCTGCGATGTGTGGTCACCGGCATCGGTACAGCCGCACCACGTCACCGGGAGGAAATGCACCCCGGTGGTGTCAACAATAGTCATCATTGCGGGCGGGGGTCGCGGAGGTGAGTCGGTGTGGTGAAGAGGGTCCGCTGGTACGTCGCCATCATCGTCGGCCGCGCGATCGGTCGCCCGGTCCATCTCCACTTCGTCGTCATCCTCCACAACAACCGCCGGCTGGGGGCATTCTCTGCCCCGGTGGCCGAGAGTCATTGATACTTCAACTTGATGTAGCCATGAGGGCTCCCAGTATCCTCCGAGGTTCCACTGCTCAACCCGGTGGAATGGTGTTCGCCGGTGCTCGGCGAGACAGCAGGTATTCATACTCATTTTCTGCAGGAAGTTGGGCAGTGGTTCGCAAACCACGAGACCGACACGGAGGATAAGGAGCCGGTGAGGAAGGACCTCATCAAGCTCGGCAAGGACCTCTCATGGCGCACGGTCTGTGCCCAAGCTCATGAGCAGGAGCTGGAAGAGCTGATAAAGAAGCATGGGAACGGGAGGGAGAAGGACACAAAGCTGTATCCGTCGATCTACCAGACTGCGCTGAAGGAGCTCTGCGACGGAATTCGCCCCCTGGACGAGGCGAAGTACCGGAAGACCGCCGCCAAGTACAACGCCACCGTGTGGCCAAGGGAGTACCAGTACAAGCACCTTGCCAGGCACGGCAACGGGATGGTGTCCGAGTTTGTTCAGCTGATGTGGAGGAAGTGTGGGGTGAGGGTGTTTGTGCTCGGGGCGTACTTGAGAGAGGACGGACAGACGGGGAACATGCAGTACATGTAGTGTCCAGACGCATTGGACATGTGGAAAGATGACGAGGACTAGATGGGACTATAACAATGTGTATCCTCGCAGCGGACCAGGCACCGAGCCGCCAAATTTTATCCAGGTCTTCAAGGATTTCCGGCGGGGCAACACGTACGAGATGTGGAAGAAGTACGCCGAGGACACATTCAGTGAGTGTGCCCAACATATGCTACGTGCTTGATGCTCAACGTATTCGCTCAGACGCCAACAGGTTTGAAGGCGAGGAGAGTATCGTCCCATCGAAACTGATTGACCGCATCGAGTGGAAGTTCGACGATGACGGGTATCCCATCCTGCCGCCGGCCGATCACGAGTGCTTCAAAAAGACCAATCACAAGTGTATGTTCCTGAGTACGTTTGTCCGAATGACATACGGTGAGCGCAACGAGTCCAATTCCCTATGGCCGGCCACTCACCTCGGAGAATACAATAGCTCATTACACCCGGCGCGAGAACATCAGGGTGCCGTGGCAGTCCCTGTCGGAGAAGTCGGAGGAGTTCTTCAAGGACGGCTATCTGCCGGCCGGCGTTGTTCTCAGCGACCCGAACAAGATCCGCGCTGGAGACCTCGATGTGGTCCTTTGCCACTGGCGTGTGAGGCAGGATGCCGACGACGGAGAACCTGTGCTCCGCTTCAAGGCTTGGAGGAACACGGCGAAACAGATCGTGGAGGTCAAGGACGAGGAGGAAAGGGTGAGCTCACCATCCCCGGCGCCCGAGCCTAAGCGGAAGCCCCAACCTAAGCCGAGACGCCGCCGTGCTTCCCCGGCCGCCCGACGTGCCTCTCGCCTAGCCAAGTCAGACACGCCGGTGGACTCCTCGGACGACCGGGAGGCCTCGAGTGTAGACTCTGATGCTGTGGGCCATGGGTCGTTGTTCGAACCCGCAAAGGACCTCGATGGTGCCTCCAGTGACGAGGAGAGCGATGACGAGGACTCTGATCACGCCCCCGAGGAGGTCATGGTGGCCCGACCGAGCAAGGGCAAGGGCCGGGCGGTGATCGCTGCCTCCAGTGACAAAGACGACAAGGAGGCTGTCCCGACGCAGCCGAAGACGAAGGAAGGCCGAGGAGGAGGTCCAGCTAAGGGGGCTCAGAAGAAAGGTGGACAGTCGGTGGGTGGAAAGAGTGCGGGAGGCGGAGGAGGGAAGACCAGCAGGGGAAGGATAGCGCGAGATCCACACAGTCGGCCGGCGCATCACGCAACGAGGCCGCCGGTGACCAGCCGGTGGTTAGCACGGAGTCGGCCGAGCAGTCGGCCAAGCCAAAGTCCGGCGGTCGTGTGTCCAAGAAGAACCGTGGTGAGTCTCATCACAACGGGCGACTGGTGCACGCAAAGCTAACATCCTTATACTATTGTGCAGACACCGTGGCCGAGGGTAACGACGAAGACGCGGGTGAAGAGGGCGATGTCCCGGTGCAAGCCCCGGCCCCCGCAAAAGCACCGAAGCCAGCCACGGCGAAGAAGTCTACCACGGCCCGCCCAAAGCAGTCAACCAAGAGTGACAGCGACGCCGAGGACAACGAGGAAGCTGATGCGCCAGCTGCCGGTCCGTCATCTCATTTCTACAGAGGGACGACTTGCTGACAACACAAGCAGGCCCGCCAAAGAAGAAGAACGCCGCCGCCGAGCCGAGCGGTAGCAAGCCCGGCCCACGCATTCAGAAGGGCAGTCCGGCGAAGGTCGCCTCGGATGTGGATGCCCGGCGCAAGTTCTTGCAGGTTCTCTGCGGCGACGACGAGATTGGCAGGATGGTGAAGGCTGCTCTGAAGCTTGTGAGTATTGTCCTGTACTCCCTCCGAACAGCATGCTCACTCAATCATACCAGCCTGACGCGGGCACTTGGCGCTCGACAACAAAGTGGGAGTGGGCCAGCTGGTCGTACCGCCGAGCAACGTGCCCCTGCTCCATCCACGAGGACAAGAAGGAACTGACACAGTTCCACCGATGGCTCACCACGATGGAGTCGTCGCTCGGCGAGAACGTCATGGCGCGCGATGACGGTCTGCTGGTAACACCGGCTGTGGGTATGCTCATCCACGACATCGAGAGCAAGGAAGTCGC